CTAGATCAGCGTTTTGTTTGGATGCACTTATATTTAGCTGAGATTACTGTCTGCATGGTGTGGGATATTGCTAAAAGTCAAAACTAATTCGTTAAAATTAAGTTTTAAATACATGTAGAAGTTTAACGTGGCACCTAACAAATATCAAGTGTGAAGATTATCAAAGCATTTAGACTTGTTCATAAAATGTAATCTGATTTTAGAATGATTCTCTTACTGAACATTTCCTCTTTTTTAATGGAAAAACTAAAAAGTAAAAGAAACGATTGCAGAACCACTCAAGAAATTAAAGGAGAAGCAGGAATCCAAGAAGGAGGAAACGAAGGATGAAGAAGACAAAAAGAAAGCCAGAAAAGGAAAAGATGCTGCTGAGCGAAAGGAGAAGAAAGCTGTTGATACAAATAAATTAAAGAAAGAGTCTGAAAAGCTTAAAAAAGACAGAGGAAAGGAAAAGGAAAAGGTTCTAGAGAAAAATGTAAAACCCAAGGAAACAACAAAAAAAGCAGCTGGTGAAAAGGCTGGTGCTGCTCAGGTGGGAAAAGAAAAAGAATCAAAAAAGATGGTTAAAAATCCATCTAAAATTTCTGAAAGCTCAGCAAAGGAAGACAAGAAAGAAAAGAAGTAAATAAAGTTCTGATTGTGCTAATTTGGAACAGACTCAGGAATGAGAGATACAGTGTATTTATCAGTGTGTAGTAAATATGGCAATGAGAAATTAATGCTTTCTGGAAATAAGTGTGAACAAAGATTATTTTTTTGAAAACTGTGCTGTGTAAACACAAAGCAAAAATGTCTGCTGTGAAACTCAAATATGTACATATGTTAATATACCTGGCTATTAATGTATGTTGAATGTATCCAATTCATGCCAGTTACTTCAAGCAAATTCTAAACCTGATCTATTTTCCTTTCTTTGTATCCGTTTATTAAAATGTTGCTATATTGGTATTGTGTATCAAGTACAAGTTTAAAAGTAATGTCAGGAGGATTATCGGGATACAAACAGTATGAAAATACTTGTTTGACAAAAACAACCAAGATGAGCATTAATAGAGTATATTGTCATAGGAATTTAGCAACTAACTGTAAATTAATTCTTTGCTAAACTTTGCTTCCTGAAGTGGACTGGGAAGACTGTGTTGTATACAGATACATGATCCAACTTTATTTATTATGTATAATTGCTACCGCTGTTTTTTAAATTGTCCTGAGACAATATATTCTGTTTATTTGTTCTTTTCAGACCTAAAAGATATGCAAACTTGTTTCATTGTCATTTTTCAGGTGACCTAAATTTTCCAAGGTTCTAATAATGAATACTTCAAAAATTAGACCCCTTATTTCAGTTTTGACGGGTACTGATGGATTTCTATTACATTTTAAGAGTAGGGATTTGCTGCTATTATTGTATTCTGGCTTACTTAGGGGAAGGTTTGTATCTTTTGCAATTCTTATTTTCTTCCAATAACACTTTACAAGTACTCGATACTTCTGTAAGCCATCTCCTGTGTTAGCTTGCTGTTACAGCTTCTGTATTTTTATTATCAAGAAATGAATTATCCAGCATTTTCATTTGAGTCAATGAAGTTAGAAAATGTTTCTTCAGACATACATTTCAGTATATTATTGAATCTGTACTTGCTTACAAGCTTATACTAGGAAAGGAATATTTCCTGTTTTACTAGATAAACAATGTTGCTAGCATGCTGAAATAAGAATTCTTCAATAAAATTGCAGAATTTAAACAGAACTTGTAAAGAAATTTGAAGGTTTATTATTATAATACTGCAGTATCATTCTAAAGGAAAAAAAACACCAAAAACTAAGGAGTGAAGTTGAGCATGGTTATGTGGTGTAAAATGTTTGAGCATGTTGGTATGGTGTAAAATTAAAGTCCTGGAGGTTGATTCCTATACTGTGTACTTGGTTCTGCTTAAGTTTTCTGTACCACTGTTGGCAATACAGTTATGTCAAACAATTAATGTAGCACATACATGTCTGTAATACGCTTTTATTCCTGTACTAGGGTAAGATACAGTCTGCTTGATTGATTTGATTTGATTGATTTTTCAGACAAAACATTTTTGAAAGGGGGTGTGTGTGTGCAAAAAGACTTAAAAGAAGATTTTACTGAATGCACTTGCATAATGAGTATTCTTTTTCAGGTTTCAGTCAGGATAGAGATGTGTTTATTCATCCTTGCTTTATGAGACTGTAAGAGACATATTTGATAGTGGAATACACAAATGACACTTCTCAAGGATAATGGCACAGTGGTAAATGCGCATCACTTCTATTTTCCTCCCTGATGTGGCAGGAGGTATAACTGTGAATGAAATTTTAAAATGAGTTGTGTTTAAGGTTACCGTATCTTACATCTATGCCTCAAATGTTTATCTCATCCTAAATAAGTTGCTTTTTCAAAGAACATTCTGTGTTAGCAGCATTTAAGGCTATACAGTAAAATGAGGGGTTTTTTTTCATGGATATGTTTTGCTGTTCCATATAGCACTACTGTTGTCATTCAATATAATGTGTCAAGTTACAACATGGGATGAAAAAATTCCCCACAAGTTAAAGTTGAGTGCAACTTTGTTTTGATTAGAAAGAGAGCGAATAGTGTGTTACAAAAAGTAAATGACAGTGTTAAATATACAACAGGATTAAACAGGAATTGTTGATAGACACACACACACACACAGTAGATCTACATGAAGCTTGAAAGGAAAGATGAGAGATGTGCAAGCAAAAACAAAGAAATATTCTTCCTTATCATTTCTTTCATTTTACCTATTCTAAATGTGTTCTGACTGAGGTAGTGAATGTGTTTTAAAAATACTTTGCATTCGCTTATCATTTGTGGAGCAGAATAAATGGTTGTCTGTATTGGGTGCGTGTGTTATCAGAAGCTATGGAAACTTACTTCAATAACTGTATATGTGAAGGAAGCGAACTGCATTTGTGTAAGTAGCGTTGCGCCTTCAACTCTTCCAACATCCTGAAGTCTGAAGTGGTGGTGAATATAAATAACTGCTTTTTTATTTCGTATTTCATAATGAGTGATGACTGTGGAAATAAGTAGCATCTTACTCTTGTAGCCATTAATGTAATGCCATAATCCTCCAGTATTTTATATGACATAGGAGAAAGTTAACTAACAGTGAAGTGTAAATTCTGGTCTTGACTTCATAGAGGTGGATTCTTAATTTCTATATAGAACTTAGTTGTCTGACGTAATGCAGATTATCTTAAAAAAAAAAAAAAATAAATAAATCGTATAATTAATTCTTTTTTTTTTTTTCTGATTCCATTTTGTATAGATGGGATAATGGAATAAGTACATGTGCTTCTCATGCTGCAAAATAATGAAATCTCTCTAGAGTAGACAGAGCTGTGTAGGGGCATATAAGCCCTAATTGAGATATGTTTGGCTCTGATAGAGACATAATATTTCTGAAGCCAAACTGACTTGAAATATACTACTTCTACTGCAGTTAGTCAACTTCTAAAGATACTTTTACTTCAGGGTTAGCAGTGAAGGAATGCTTATTGTAGTGTTATTTCTGCTTTTTACAATTTGTATATACAGGGCTCAGGGCTTTTTTTTAACACAACTCTTTTGAAACTAGTTTGTTTTGGGGAGGGTTGTGTGTGTGTGTGTATATGTCTATGTCTGTGTCTATTTAAGAAAGTGGAGGTGTTCAAGGCCAGGTTGGATGGGACCCTGGACAGCCTGGTCTAGTATTAGGTATGGAGGTTGGTGGTTCTGCACATGGCACGGGTTGAAGCTTAATGATCCTTGGGGTCCCTTTCAACCCAAGCGGTTCTATGATCTCAGAACTCATATGTAAATCTGCTAAAGGTGTCGTATGATCATGGGAAAGTTCAGTTTTGAAGGGTCCTTAGGAGGTCTTTATTCAAACATGCTGCTCAAAACAGGGTCAACTCGGAGTAAGACCAGCTTACTCTGAGCGTTACCCAGTACTGTCTTGAAAAAATAACAGGATGCGAGTGCACCTTTCTGCTTAGGCTGTTCTGCTGAGTTGACTGTCCTCATGGGAGGGGTTGAGGGAGGGGAGTTTATCCCTGCATCCACATCTCTTATTTCAGTCTTGCTTGAATTTTTCCTGAGGAATGATGGAGAGGAGGATTAGGCTAATACCAATACATTCTTTCTTGTGGATGTGTTGTCTTAAGATGTGGGATCATCTTTCCGACTTCTCACTGTACTTCACGTAACTAGGACTATAAGTTGTAACTAATGAACGAATCATTCTTGAGCAGGTGTTTGTCTGAGTAAAATATTAATTATCTTTCTTTCCATCTCTTACCTTTGTATTGATCATTGCTGTTATTTGTTGCTTTTTTTTCCATGATGTTTTGATCCAGAAAGATTCAGTGATATGGATAGTAAACCACATTGTGGTGAAACGTCATCAGTCATATTTTTTGTGCACTTACTTAAGTGTCGGAGAAATTAGAGTGACATTGCTATATTTTGAAGAAACTACAATTCTCTTTATCAGATCTTTGAAGTTATGAAAGCATATTCTCAGTATGAGCTTCATATCCTAAATTTCAAATTAGTTATTTATAAAATATAAAAATGATCATATAAAGCACTTTTTTCCAACGATTGTAAGGAAAAACCTGTTGCCTGTTTCTCTTTTGGATACTAAATAGGTCTTGAGAATAGCACGGTAACTTGTTTTATTTACCCTGAATTAAAAACAGATGCTTAAATTTCTGTCCATATTTTTCTCATTGTGTGTCTACCTTTAAAATGTATATTTGTTTATTATCTCAATACACTTTGGTTTTTGTGTACACTAAATATCAGGACAGCCCTGCTGTTACAATTGATTGTTGAAATGAATTTTCAAGTGTTTAATGTCAGTTAATTGTAACTGTAGTTGCTGCTGATGTAGTTGAAACAACTTATAAGTCAATCAAACAATAATAAAAAAGCCTAAAGATAACTTTATAACTGAAAAATGCAGGCCTAAAAGAAAGATCTGTCCCAGAACAGCCAGCATCCCCAGTGTCTGAGGAGACCATTCAACCCGCTGAGGAGTCATTCATCAAATCAGGTAAGATTTTTCATAAACCACAGATGAAGCACAAGACTCAATGTTTCGCTTGATTTAGTATTCTGTTTCTTCAGTATACAAACTCATTGTGGTATTTCTTTGGGTAGAAAATAAAATCTTTAATCACTTTTATGTGTTGTTTATGCATTATAACATTCAACTGGAGTGACCGTTAATAACTTTTTGTAAATCAGTAGAGATTTTATTACAGTAAGAGTTTATTGCTTACACAAAGTATAGATTGTACTCTCCTCACTTCTCATGGTTGCTGTTAAAACCATATCACAGCAGAGAGACTTTTTGCTGGTGTATAGTTATGGTCTTTGTATGTATGCAACCATATACACAGTCAGAATAACAGCAGATTCTCCAGCTAAAACATAAAAATTAGATATCAAAATGAATAGAAATCATTTTCCTATTTGGGGAAGAGGAAAAAAGAAAAACATAGAAGTAGCAGTACAGCAGCTGTTCCTTCTAAATATGACTTTTATAGTAAGACTGTTTACAGTTTCTCAACTAATCTGACAAGAATAGAAAGGTCTGCCGTTTAATTCTAGTAACTTCAACGTTTTATGTTGTTTTAAACTTCAACTAAAAATGGAATTGCTTGCTAAGATTAATCAAATATTCACTCTCCTACTGAAACTAATAGTATATAAAAATTAGAATAAGTATATTCTTAGTATTAGAAAAAAGTCACAAATATTTTAAAGCCCCTCAAATATTAGTAAAATTTATTAGATTCAAGAGGAATTTAGGGGAAAAAAATGTTAAATGTCAACTTTTGGGTATACAATTTACGCTTTCCTGTAATTCACAGTGTATTTTTTTCCAGTTCCAGGAAGAGGCTTACCCTGTTTCATCTTTATGTATAGCTAACACAATAATCCACAAATGTGGAGCATATGGTTAATAAAATGTAATATAGAATCTGTTTAAAAGACTTGAATTACTGAAGTCATTATAAAATATATAACTAAGGTGTAATTTCCTGTCTATTTCACCCCGAACTTTCTTTTACAAATGTTTTGGTATTTTATCTGAAAATGCATTTGGACTGGTTTTGTGCCATGGAGTTTCTCAGTACAATTTTTCAGGATATTTATATGAAGGTAACTTTTAGCACAGAATCCAGTTATGTCATGGGCTGGTGTATTCAATGATTATTGCTTGTCCCTGGAAACAGTTTGTGATTTAGTGTGCTACGCGGGAGAAGTCCTTGGTATTGTAATGTTAATATTTATTTCCCCTACTTCTAAAACAAGCAAAACACCACTTGTGCAAATGATATTGTGTTGTCAAAAACTGTATGCTAGTACTGCTACCTAAATCACAGGAAAATAACAGGTGAATTCATAGAAGAGAATTCATGGTTTTTACAGTTATCTCAAGTTGCAACTGTTATTGCTGCTGGAAAAAAAAATATGCAGGAAATCTACGTAGAATAATTCTTTCAATTCATTTGATGTAGTCGATGCAATATTTGCTTTATTGGACAGTAAACAAAATTCAGAGGTTTATCTGAATTTGTGGAAATTGATGGAAAGGAGTAAGAACTTATGGAGGCTACTGAAAGCTGCAAGCCTTGCTTTAGTGTTAATAATTTCTATTTTGTACTTACCTGCAAGTAATTTACTTACACTGCAATTTATGATCCCTTTAGAGTACAAGAATCTTGATGTAGAATTGGAAGAGGAAATTCAGCCTGTTCTTCATGATGCTCTCCATTCCCAGCCTGGTAATGAATTAACGTTTAGACATCACTGACGAGTTATAAAATGTGATCCTTGTTTTAATTTATTTATTTATTTATTTATTGTATGCACTCAAGGTATTTTTACCTGCACAAGACGTTCTAATCAAATAGTTTGTGATTTTCCAAGAATGTCTTGAAAATTCACTCAACAAATCCTGAAATGGTAACTTTTCAATTCAGTGAATTCACAGAAATGCTCTGTACAGTGCAAGAATGGGTAAAGAGGAATTGTTTTTATTCGTGAACAATGAAGGCACTGATCAGTCAGTGCAGACACTTTGGACTTATACTTACTGTAAGAGGCAGTCAAGTTGTATCCTCTGTTGTGGAGTAGTAGAAAAACGCGATAGTTGTGTTGAAAGCTGAATTTTTTTTATTCTAGTAGAGTGTACCAGTGAGTATGTGTTATCTAAAAATTTATATTCTTGATTAGGAGAGGGACATGAAGATGTAGATGAAAGCATAACTGACCAGTGGCAAGAGAAGGAAGAAATACATGCAGAAACATTTGAAGCTCCTGCAACAGATGACATGCTTAGAGAATTAGAGAATGAAGTGACAGAGGATTATGAAATACCAGACTCATTTCAGAAAGGTATTTGAATGACTAAATATATTTAAAAATTAAATGTTCGCAAAAATTCAAGCAGACAAATTTAAATAAGAGTCAAGTGTCTTTAATTTAATGAGAAATAATTTCTGCTTGCCGCAGAGTCTTGGAAAATATTGGAATGCTTTAAAGATGTTCTGATCCAGGTAGCTGTAAGTTATAGTAAGCTTACTGCTGTGTTGGCTTTCAGACAACAAAATTAATCTGTGTTCCAGCTACGCATTTCACCCCAAATAAAAGTGCTCATACAATATCTGAAGTGATATTATCAGTGAAGAATATCTGAAGACTGAGCTTGCTTCTATACTCAAGAAGCTTTTTTTATATTAAATTTTACACATTTCTTATAGGCGTTCCCAGTGTATTTCCCTTGTAATGTGACACTTGAAGAGAATGTTGTATGTGAGCAATATTCCAAGTCTTGCAAAGAACATGCTGTAGTATAATGAGGATATTCATACCCTGCTGCTTTGAGATATCAACAGGCTGTTACAAATTGTAATATTACAGAAGAATCATCTGGTTTAATTCAGATTTAGGGAAAAGTACATCTGAATGCTTTTGTCTGCAGTACTGACAATTGTGCATATATTTTTAAGACCTCTTTTTGAAAAACTTATGTAATGATTGCTGTCTACATGTTCTGATTGCTGAAAGTATGCTGAGATTCTTTCATCTCAACTGAAGTAAATCCTTTCAGTCTTTCAGTCCTCCTTGTTTGTTTGTCTTCTGTTCTTCATGGTGTAAGCTACAGTAGGAAATACATTGAATATTCAAATTCCAGTTATTAAAAATCCTGGAAATAATTTTTAAGAAGGCAATATAAATATGTTCTTTTGTTGTTTACGTTGAATCTCTCATGAAGTCTGATTTTCCAACAGCAGACCTGAATTTGGGAGATGAAAATTTCTGTAGGAACAGCCATCTTTTCCAGAGCAAATGTGTTTAGTGCATGTGTATTCTCAGTATAACATACATGATTATTATTTCAATCTATATGAATATCTTTCTGGCAATACAATAAATCTACTTACTACTTCTGCTTAGAAATTTTACTATTCATGCATAATATTCTGTTAAAGGGTTTCACAAAACCAGGAATTTTTAAATATGTCTATTTCTTAGATGCTGATATTGTAGCAGATGATCCTGGAGCAACAGAACCTGAGACATACGAAGCTCCAGGTATAATTTTATGTTTCCAAAGTCAATAATATTAGCTTTGTGTCAGAAATGGTAAGAGAAAGCAAAATACAAAATGCTAAATTGATTTAATAATAGATAATTTTGAAAATGTTTATTCTCCAAACTACTGTTCTTGACTTGTCTTATATATTTTTATTTTCACTGAAATGACTGTATCATATCTGCAATGACAAGTGATTCTTAACAGATACAGTATAAAATAAATAATAAATAATACATAAAATAGTACTTTATGTATTACTGTCTTGTAACATTCTACATTGCTGAGGTTCTTCTGGCCTATTATTTTAGTCTTTAGTCAGGAGCTGGTGCTCTCACGTGTTTCAGAAGTATTCAGTTCATAACCTTCCATTCAGAACTATTTGAAGTGTTGCAATGTTATTCTGTCAGAGCCAGTAACCTCCACAGGCTTGATATGGAACTATCTTTGCACTATCATTCTGTACACCCTAATTTATCTTTAAGGAATTCTTAAGTGTTACGTATACTAATACAGTTAGCTTCTAGTCTTCATCACACTGTGTTTAATCAGATCTGCATCTTTCTTATGCTGAGGGCCTCAGGCCTGGATACAGTGCTCTAGATGGGGCCTCACAAGTGCAGAGCACAGGCAGGCAATCACCTCACTCTGCTGCCTGCTGCTCTTCACAGAATCACAGAATCATAGAATCACAGAATCACCCGGGTTGGAAGGGACCTCAAGGATCATGTAGTTCCAACCCCCCTGCCTAGCAGGGCCACCAAACATACACATTTAGATCAGGTTGCCCAGGACCCCGTCCAACCTGGCCTTGAACACGTCCAAGGACGGGGCATCCACAACCTCCCTGGGCAGCCCGTTCCAGGGCCTAACCACTCTCCTTGTAAAGAACTTCCCCCTAACATCCAACCTAAATCTTCCCTCCTTCAACTTGGATCCATGCTCTTGATGCAGCCCAAGGTGCATTTGGCCTTGTGGACTCTAAGCATACGCTGCTGTCTCTTTTCCAGCTTTTCATCTGCCCACAGAACCCACAGATCCTCCTGTACAGGGTTGCTCTCAGTTTCTTCTCCCAGTCCATACATATGTGTGGGATTGCTCTGACCCAGGTGTAACACCTTGCACTTTGCCTTGTCTAACCTCGTTAGGTTCTTGTGGGCCCACTTCTCAAATTTGCCCAGGTCCCTTTTTATGACATCTCTTCCTTCTGTTGTATCAATGGCACTACTCACTACTCCACAAACTTGCTGAGGCTGCTCTTGATCCCACAGTCTGTCTCATTCATAAATTAAAGAGCACCAATTCTAAGACAGATCTCTGGGAGGGACACCACTTGTCTCCAGCCTCTCTCTAGAGAGACAGTTAACCAGCACTCTGGCTGTAACTGTCCAGTAAAGTCTTTATCCACCAAATAGTCCAGTCTTCAAATCCATATCTCTCCAGTTTAGAGATAAGGATGTGGTGTGGGTAATCTTACCTATTAGTCCATCTATTGAGATCCAGCTGGATCATTGAAATTTCCGTGCTGAGAAGAGTTTTCTTCTGAATGCTACTAATACCTCTATATAGCATAAGCATTCTATTCCATTTAAATCAAGTTTCAGTGAATTTCAGTTTAAACTAGGTTTATTTTCTTTGTCCCAATGCTAGTTCTGCATTTTACATTCTCTTTTTATACCAAATATGATAGCAACAAAATTTTTTGCCTGTTACAGCAGAAGGATCCAGCGCTTTCCAGTAGATTGCTATTTGTCTAGTGTCAAACATCAATTTGTAAGATTTTGATTTAATAGTTTTCTACTAGATATATAAATGGAGCTATTGAAAGATGTATTATTGATGCAAGTTAAAACAGTGGGTATTGAAAAAATATATTTTTTCATATTCAATTTTCAGTTTCTTATGAATATGATATGGATTTGGAAAACACAGTAAGTGATCCAGAAGCTCCAGGTTTGTACATTTTCATAAATTCAGACTGTAATCAATTCTTTAAGCAGGTTTTGAAGTAATGTTTCATTTACTGTTATGTCACAGTTTTATTTTTAAACAGATTTTTCAAGTAGTATCAAATAAAAATTGTTTTTTGCGTCTATGTTACCGTTACAGTTATATACAAAGGATTCCATTAATCCAATCCACAAACACTTGCAAAGTATTTGCTAGAGTAAATAATAGATTATTATGCTAGGCTGGGCTAGGGAAGATGTGAGCTGAGATCCACAAGGAAACTGGAGCTCCTGGTCACAAGGGGAAAGCTGAGGTCCTCAATTACTTCTTTGCCTCAGTCTTCACTGGCAAGAGCTTTAGCTGCACCATGCAAGCTGCAGAAAGGAAAGAACTGGGTGATACAAGATCTTCCCAGAAAGAAGATAAGATTTGAGACCATCTAAAGAACCTGAAGGTTCACAAGTCCATGGGACCCGACAAAATCCATCTGTAGGTTTTGAGGGAACTGGTGGATTGAACTTGCCAAGCTACAAGCTATCAATCATATCTGAAAGGTCATTGCAGTCTGGTGAAGTTCCACTGACAGGAAAAGGCAAACGTAACTCCCATTTTCAAGAAGGGTAAAAAAGAAGATCCAGGGAACTACAGGCCCATCATTCTTACCTCTGTGCCTGGTAAAGTCATGGAGCAGTTCCTCTTGAAGGCCCAACTAAAGCACATGGAAAATAAAGACAAGGTGATTGCTGGTAAATAATGTGCCTTCAATAAAAGCAACTCATTCCTGGCAAACTTATTGGCCTTTTATGGTGTTTATAGCATCAGTGGATAAAGGAAGAGCAACTGACATCTACCTGGATTTGTGTTTGACGCTGTCCTTGACAATATCCTGTCTCCAGATTGGAGAACAATGGATCTGATGGATGGACATCTCCCTGGATGAGGAATTGACTGGATGGTCACACACAGAGAGTTGTGGTCAGTGGCTGAATGTCCAAGTGGAGACTGCTGACGAGTGGCATTCCTCACAGATCATTACTGGGACATCTTTGTAGGTGACATGCACAGTGAGATCAAGTGTACCCTCAGCAAGTTTCCAGGTCACACCAAGCTGAGTGGTGAGGTTGATGCGCTTAGAGGGAAGGGATGCTATCTAGAGGGACCTGAATAGGCTTGAGAGGTGGGCCCATGCCGGCTTCATGAACTTCCAACAAGATTGAGTGCAAGTCCCTGCACTTTGCTGGGGCAATCTCAAGCAGAGATAAGAATGGGCGGAGAATGGCTTGAGAGCCCCTGAGAAGAAGGATTTGAGAGTGTTGGTTGATGAAAGACTCAGTGTGAGCAGACAGTGTGCACTTGCAGCCCAGGCCAACCACATCAAGAGAAGTGTGACCAACAGTCAAGGGAGGTGATTCTGTCCCCCTACTCTGTTCTCTTGAGACCCCACCTGTTATACTGCATCCAGTTCAAGGGCTTTCAACACAAGAAGGACATGGAGCTGTTGGAGCAAGTCTGGAGGAGTGCCATGAAGATGATCAGAGGGCTAGAACACCTCCCCTGTGAGGGCAGTCTGAGAGAGTTGAGGCTTTTCAGCCCGGAGAAGGCTCAGAGGAGACCTTATAGTGGCCTTCCAGTATTACAAGGGGGCCTAGAGGAAAGCTGGGGAAGGACTTTTTATAAGGACATGTAGTGACAGGATGAGGGATAATGGTTTTGAATTGGAAGAGGGCAGATTTTGACTAGATATTAAGAAGAAATTCTTTACTGTGAGAGTGGTGAGACACTGGAACAAGTTGCCCAGAGAGGTTGTGGGTGCTCCCTCACTAGAAGCACTCAAGGCCAGGCTGAATGGGGCTTTGGGCAGTCTGTTCTAGTGGGAAGTGTCCCTGCCTATAGCAGGGGATTGGATCTAGATGATCTTAAAGGTTCCTTCCAACCCACGCCATTCTATGATTATCAGCAACCTACATGAATTCCTAATAATAATACAGACATGCTTATACAATAATACATATAATAATACAAATATGCAGATAACTTACTATGTTGTGGTCTAGCTCATGGATGTGTTTTATCACCTAGCTGTGAATTTCGAATAAATGTTGTGATGTTTATTCTTACATGCATGCTTCTGTTGTTTTTGAGCCTAATATGATTTTTTTAACTTGTGCTATTTAGCTGTTGCATGAAAATTTGACAGAAACATAAAATATTGAATATTTTTATTTAAGGTAATGCTGAGCTAACATTAGAAGATGCTGTTAAACACTACACAGGTACAATCCAAAATCGTACTTTTTTCAGTGAATTTTATCCTCAGAAAAGGCTGTCCCCTTTCCTGTCCTCCCAGATTGGAGCTGGTATATAGCATCAGTTTATTAGTGTAATCTTAAAAAAAATACAAATGGAGGTCTGGCAAAATGAGCAGAACAGTATTTTGAGGGTTAAATATTTAGGGTATTTATTTTTAAAATTGCATGGGAATATTTCTGTAGATTAAAAAAAAAAAAAGTTATTTTCAATTTGCTAAAGACTTTTGGAGGTGGTATATCTAACTGTTGGGGGAAAAAATTCATATCTTTCTTAAAAAGTAAAAATAAAAATATCCACAGTATGTTGTAAAGTTTTACTGTATGTAAGAAAGACTGATGGGTATTTCCTTTACGATTTATAGGTCATTTACAGTTGATTTCATGACTTGATTATTATTATTTGTTATTATTATCTAATTATTTGATGAATCATTTTGAAGTCGTACCTAGTAATGCCAGGAAGTTTCTTATTTTTTCCCACAAAAACTGTAAAATCTTCAGTTGCAGAGAACTCTTTGTATTATGAACTGTAACACAATATAAAATAGTATATATTTGATTATTTTTTTTTCCTGAATGGACTTTATTCTGAACCTTTTATTTTCTTCAAAATTCAATGAATTTTAATATTAACTTCTTTTCCCTTCTTTGGGCAGAAGACAGAGAGCATGGTGTTTATGATGAACATGGTATGACAACTGTTATATTTGACTTTTATATATTGAATCATAAATCTTATTTCACTGTTGAATTATTATGATAATCTCTCTGTGATAGAAAATGAAACTATTTTGTCCTAATTTTTTTCTTGTTGTCATATTCATCTTATAAGTTCTGTGATAAGGTATTTTTGATCTTTGATACTCCATGTGACCAGGTCAGTCAGTCTGTAACAGTGGAACAAATGTAGAGTATACATATTAGTTAAATTCCCTAACTGATCTCTTCTGTGCCTGTGTGGCATAAAATATTGAGAACATCTCATGCTAGCCCTTCTCTCCCCTTTTTTCTTTAATAAAACCATGGTAAGTCAGCGGTAGTTCATTGCATCTGTGTAGCTCAGTATTACTGTATTGTACTCATTTTGTTCATAGCTAATAGCTCAGTAGAGATTTACTCCAATATAGTTTGATTTGGTTAATGATTTGCTAATGATTGCTAGGAGGGTTAGTACCTGCTAAGATAATGAAATTATCCAGTGTGCTTAGATACATGTTGAAGTTCTCAATTTTAAATACACTATTATGTATCAAAGACTTACAATAAATGGCCAGCATCTTACCTATTTTCAGACATTATTTGAAGTAAAAATAATCGGTATTTTTAACCTGTTTCTTGTTCAGTTATGAAAACTATACTAGCTCTTTATTTAAAGTATAGGAGTGTAGGTGAATTATTGTAGTTGTGCAGAATGATGGTTTTATTGTTGTCATTGTTTTAAATATCTCATCTGTGTGGGTAGAAATGCAGGAATTTCAGCATTATGTTCACATTTGGTATTAGTTTTATATGTAGAATTCCCCACTGTGGGTTCCATTAAGAATTCATTTATCTGTGCAGGCCTCAAGAGTAAAGAAAGCTTTTGAGAGCTTTGCAATTATGAAATGAATTAGATGCCTAACAGCTAAATTATTTTTAGTTTTGTCTGTGGATCAACAACATATTTTTCTTTCCCTTTAAGAAGCAAAACACGAGAAAGAGACCGAGACTCAAGATACAGGTATAGTCTATTGTATGTATGTATGTCTGTGTGTATGCATGAATATATTTACATATGGCATATATTAAAAAATATATATATCTTTGTGTGTGGTTAAATTGCCCACAAACCTAAGAATAGAAATACAATGAGGGGAGAAGTAGACAGTGGCAAAATGCTGCATTGTTAGCCATTTAGGTTGTTGACAATGCTATTACTAAATGCTCATTACTAAATGAGCATTAATGCTCATTACTAAAGCCAGTCAGCATGAGTAATCTTTGTAAGGGTAAAGACACTTACAAAAAGATCCTTTTTAACTCATAAATGTGTTTCTAAATTTGCTCTTACTTTGCTCTTGTTTCTTGTCCTGCTTATCAGTTCCTTCATGTTTTTTTTAATTGAAAAGGTTATGGGTTTGTTGTTCACACATCCATCAGATGTAGTTGATGATGCAAAAAAATTAAACTGAAAGACATGCTCAGAAAGACTAAGGAGGGTTTTTTTTCTAATGTCATCTTTTAAAGTTAGTGTGTCTTAATTGTTTAGAAGGTAGATTTTAAGTATTCACCTAATAAATACAGTAGTTCTATAGAAATACAGGAAAGAAAATTTAAGGTACTTCTTTGTTTCCTCAAAATTGATAAAAGTTCATACTTGCCTTTTGAAGTTTTATGTTCACAGTTGAACATCTCTGTGTATGAACTCTGTTCATTTGTGTTATATGTAAGTTTCTTCAGTTTAGAGCTTGACTTCGTTGTTGCTCTGAATTAAATGTTTTTTAGCTGTTGAAGACCTTCCTGAGGAAGTACATGAAGCCACAGAACCAGGTATGTATTGTTACTGTGGTCTTGAAGTGCTTTTGCTATCCACTTCTTGGTTGTTTTTTGGTATTGTTTTTGTTTTGTTTTGTTTTGTTTTTTGAGAGAGGGAGAGCTAACGATGTACTTCTGTCTTTTTATAGTTAGAGATGAAATTGTTGAAGAGTTAAAAATTGAGAAAAAACTACCAGGTATGAAATTTTTATATATAAAGAAATCAAGCATTTTCCTTCCATTTATATCTCTTAATATGCTTTTTTTTAAAAAGACAAGAAAATGTTCTCTATGAAGTGCTTAATGTCAAAAATATCATTAAATATGATGGTTTTTCAAACATGACCTTAGTTCAGTCAGCTTGAGGAAAGTGGTTGTCGCTTTAGTCTTAGCATAGCTAGGGATTTGCTGCTATAGTTTATTCAAGTTTTCCATTTCATAAATTGTTGTAATGGCAATCATAATTGAAATCCCTTTTTGGGAGGAGGGGGCAGAATGATAGCAGTCATTAACTAAGAGGGTCTAAACTTATTTTATATGAAATGTGCTTAGGTGCTTTTGTGCTACTGATATTTTAACTTGTTTGTCCTTCAGTTTAACTTCTACTTGATACTAAAGAGACTGGGTGGTTGGTGAGGAACAGAAGCAAAATTTTAAGCATTTTGTGTAACTTTCATATTTAAATTTATTTATAACAGTAGAAAGTAAGCATACAGAAGAAGATAATGTGGCCACTGGACCAGAGGAATCAGGTTTGTATATTATGTTTCACATGAACTTGCTACTTTATATAAATTAGATAAATACCATAGAATAGAGTTCTACTGTAAAAATATATTTGCAATTTCTTTTGCCACAGAACTTGTTTTCCTTTGAGGATGGGTGTAACTGCGTTATTAGAAGCTAGCATGTTCCTTTTTTAATTTTACTTCGCTTTCTAATGTTAGTATTTTAAATGCTTAGGAAAGTGCAGTTTTAGAAGTCAAGAGTGCTCAAGCTCAGAATGACTTGTAACAATAAAAACAATCATAGTTGGTCCTAGGAACTGGAAGATTTTCTTGCCATGCTCTGTCTGCCACCTGGCAATCAGTAGTGCATACTCTGGAAAAAGAGCATAACAGAAGAAAGGGGGAATATTTCCCCAGCTTTGAGTGGCACCACTACAGAATTTGTGAGTCAGAGGATGTATTGCCCTCTTCAGTTTCTCGTATTTGCTACAGTCAGTATTATAACTATTATGAATTCTTCTCTGGTAAATTTGACTCCCTCTATGCATGAATAGGGAACTACGTGCAACCTTTAGCCTACTAGCAATAGCAGCAGTTGGTGACATGTCTAATTTAAACATACATCCTGAATTAAAATCAACTGAATTTTCGAGTCAAATCCATACTCAAATAGCATATTAAACTGGGAGATTTGTGCTTATGATAGTACAATTTCAGAATTTTGTTTTTAAATTTAATTTTAATTTTTTCCTAGAAAAACGTAGCTGAAGAAAATTTGTATCCCACTTCAGAAAAAGTATTATTGCTCAGTAGTCTTAATAGGTCACTGTTTTGAGCATAAGAGGAAAACTTTTCTGTAATCATTTTAGACTTTCTGTAAACGTTTAGAGAACTACCCAGTTTTAGTTGTTTATGCACTTTTCATTTACAGAAGTCCCTGTTCAAACTGAGGATTATTCAAACAATAATCTAGTGGGTAAGTGTTTAAATGTTTTCCTTTTTTTTTTTTTTTTTTTTTTTCCCACACACACAAAAAAAAAATATATATATAGCTGCATGGTAAGTTTTGCAGACAATTTTTGGAAAGTATTGAAGGATAATCATTACTCTCATTGTAAGTTTTTTGTGGCTATGAAGCAATTATTTTTATCTTGTCCTGGATAAATGTGAGTGATGGCAAATTGAGCTATACAGAAGTATTTCAAATAAAACTGAGTAGTTTTAAAATAGAACTTATTTTAAATGATTTCGGGGAGAGCTGTATACTTCTGCTGTAAAGGTAAAAATAAAAATATCAGATTTTGAAATTTGTGTGTGCTTCCTTTCCAGAGTAGCTTGTCATGGGTGATGATATTACTTTTCTGTATGTCAATCAAATCTATTGGAGTTTGGCAATGGCTCTTTCTTCAGGCACTGGTCTGTGAACAAAGCTGGCTTTGTCATACTGTCACATTTTTCTTGATATTACCATTTTAATGAACAAAATGAGCACTTCCAGCTCTTTCATCAGGACGATAGTAATTGCCAAAACCATTTTTAGAGTAATTACCTAGGGAACCTATCTGACAGGAGGGAGTTGCTTCATTGGAAGCTTGTGTGTTGTTACATTTGGTCCACTTTTCTGGAGTTATTTGAATCATAGAATTAAGTATCACAAATCAGTAGTTGGTTCTTTTATAACTGTGGCAGTGTTGAGGGCAGCACTGAGCTGTGTCTCTCAGTGAGAAACCACAGGGATCATAATCTAGGAGCCCTGAGAGCTGTTTTAGTTCTAGTTAGCCTCAGACCACATGTGATGTGGGTGGTGAGGCACTGGAACAGGTTACCTAGAGAGGTTGTGGATGACCCTCCCTGGAAGCATTCAAGGCCAGGCTTTGAGCAACCTGTTCTAGAGGGAGGTGTCCCTGCCTATAACAGGGGGTTGGAACTAGATGATCTTAAAGGTCCCTTCCAACACAAACCATTCTGTAACTCTTGATGTGGTTGTTGGGCAAAGGAGTTTTTGACTACCTTTGTGCATTGGTTAATCTTTGCAGTATACAGAAGCTCTGAAGTGGTGTGATACCTAAGTGATTCTGTGAGACTTTTCTTTCCTAGCAGGGAAGGAAATTTGTATTCGATGCTTAGACATGCCAAAAGTACCTAGGGAACTGAAAGTGCAGGAGTTCTGTGTGTTCTCCCAGTACTGATCAGAAGCATGATTGGGTTTATGTTTTAATTTACATGCTGAACATTAGCTGAGGTGGTCTGAAATGTTTGTTGTAATACATATCACTGATTTGACTGTGGTGTCTTTCTAACCTGTTTATCATAATTGCTACTCATTATGTATGTGTTCACTTATAGATAGCTAATAATAAATATTTATTTTCATAACGAATATCAAAGATTTTAAACAAGGCTTATGAACAGTGTTAAGTAGTAGTTGTTTTGACAGGATTGGCAATAAGATCAGTGAATGTAGCATACATTCCATTAGTTTGTTGTGGAACTGTAGAACGAGAAAAGATGCATCAGTTTTCTTGCAGAAAATGTGGTTGCCTACAGTTAAAATAATAAGTAGGTCTTTATGAGACTATTGGAAACTTTTAACAGTAGAAACTTCTACTGCATAGTGTCAGTTATGTTGATATGAGGATATTAAGATGAATTTGTCTTATATATGCTATTTCAAAACCAAGTTCAAACTCATTATCAGCTTGAAATCCTTGAATTTTGTTTCCATGGACCATATTTTTGTCAAAATCAAAACCTATTTATTCAGTTACTAAATAAGGCTAACAGTATCATGCTCCTGAGTCTTCCCTTATGAAGTAGAAAATGAAAATAATCTGTAGCACAAAATTTACTACAGCATGCTAACATACTGAAAGATTGTAAGTAATTTGTGTAGTTGTGTGGTAGCCACTTTAGAGGCAGAAGAACAAATTGATGTATTTTGTAAAAAGCTTGTCAATACAATGCAGAAATCAATTTATATAATATCTCTGAAAATTGAGAAAGGCAGGGTACACAATTTAAATAATTTACAGTTACTGAATTTTCCTGCTATTAAAGGTTTCAGATGTGAAAGCTTACAGGAAAACATTATTATCACAGCCTTTTCCTCTTAGGTAATGAAATTCATATGTAGTAAGGAGTCAAAAAAATATTTTCAGTCAGAGGCTTCACTATGAACTTTTTGTTGTCAGAATTCTTTTCTCCTTTGGCAGCTTTTGATATAAATACTTTAGGATTTTTGTTTAATTGTTTTCATTTGTATGTAAATTACAGTGATTGTGTTAGAAGTAATTGGGATATATTTGAGGTATAGTAGGATATATTTGAAGGGAAGCATTTTCCATTTTGGGGGGATACTATTACTCTTTCTGTTTGGGTTTTTATCCCTCACGTATGTAGTTTAGATTTAAAATATGTAAGGTTTTTTTTCTCCCTTTCAATTGCACACTTTTCATTTACTTTTACCAGCTACTGAAATCCCTTGTGTTCAGAAGTTTCCATTTCAAAACTTTGACCCTTCCTCATTCCCTGGCTTCTTTTTATACAGTACCTGTCCTTGATGATAGCCCTCCCTCCTCCCCACCCCCCCACCCCCCCAAAAAAAAAAGTATTTGTAACATGGCCCTGATTTTCCTTTATGAGGTTAATGCACTGCCATATGATCAGAAAAAAATTTACTGCTCAGATAAATATTTGAAATTGTACATTTCCCACCTTCTACAGCAACTTTGTGCATATTCATTATGGTAACACCTAGAAATGACAGCTTTCTTAAAGTCTCAAACAAAGTTGCTTTTTTTTTTTTTTTTTAAGATTTATTTGAATTTTTTGTCTTATAGTAAGCTGTGTTTTGGTTGGTCCTTTAATATAGATTTCCCCTTATTTTTTCAGATACTTAAAGCTTCAAAAGAAAAGTCCCTACATCAGGAGGACCAGCCCTAACCATACGCTACAAAGGGGAGCAGATGGTTGTCATAGATGTTACGATGTAATTACAGAGCAGTTCAGGGTTTGGGAGCAAACACTAAGATACTGTAAATGGGTTGTAGCCAACTGTCATCTTAGTAAGCTTTTTTGTTTTTGTTTTTTTTTAACACTTGGATGTTTAATTTGCATTCCTATCTTGTTTTTTTTTTGGGGGGGGGGCGGCCCGGAAGGATGGGGGAGAAGGGTCAAGTTTAGTGAATTAATTAGCTTTATTTTTCTTCTGTGTTCATGGCAGAGTTGCAACTTTGAACTACATTTCATGTGTGCTGTTCAAACAATTGTTAATATTCTATTTATAATATAGCAGCAAGTACATTTTTTCAGATTTTAATATATATCTTTTGGTGTGGATTCATACAGTGTGTACAGTGCATTTTGGTGAAAGGAAACTTAAAACATTGTGAATTTTTAAATGCTTTATAACTGCTGATAATAGCATACAGCCTAAACACATTTTATAACACTAATCAGGCACACACTAAGCTGTGAATTTTGACTTGTATCTCTTTGCACTGGCATTAAGTCAACAGACACAATATAATGTTCAGGTGATTTTTTAAAAAAAGTCTAATATTCAAAGAAACCTTTTATATGTGAATCAGAACTTTATAGGCATTTGATTTGGATAGAAAACTGCATAATAACTCAGCAGAGAGTCAGCGTAAATTGAAACAAACCTGAATGACCAGAATCAAGTAGAATTTAGGAAATTTCTCCCATTTTCCTACTAATTTATGATTTCAAAGATGGATTTAAGAAACTTTAAGTGAAACTTAACTTTTAAGAAACTTCAGTGAATTACGGAAACTGTGGAAATTCAACCTCAGGAAAAATAGGACATCAAAATTTAAGGCCTGCAATTATAAACATTCTTGTAAACGTTACACGGCTGAACTATAGGCTTTGAGTGATTCAGAATTTTAATATTGCGGGAGTACTCTTTACCTGTGCTGTGTTGTTGTTCCACAATTACAAAGACATATTTTATTCTTTGGCAATTTGCATGTGTTCCTTTTGGGCTCAGGAATATTGCTGTGATTTTAAGAAACTACTAAGTCTAATAAAACAGCTTAGACAAAAAAACAAAGGTTAAGTTAAATTTTGTAACCCTAGCAGCAGTTGCCTTTTGGTTGACAGGAAGATTTTAAATTTCTGTAACACTGTTTTGAAGTCAGGTTCTCAATTACCTTTTCAGTTACGAATTTCAATAACTTCTAGTTAAAGGGACATCATTTATGCTGGCTTATTTTGTTCTGGACTTCAGTAAGATTCCATGTAGGTGAGTGTTGCATCTGATTAATAGGCACAGAAGATGTTCCAAAGTGATTTCTTCTAGACTCTTCAAAAAAGCAATAATACTCTTAGACTGTGATGTGGTTTAGGATGGAATGTACTCATAAAATTACCTGTGATTGTGAATTGCATAGCAATAATTTTTACAAAGCCATATTTTGCGATGAAGTTTGGGAATGATTTTAGAATGGTGAATGGAGGACTTTTTATATAACAGTGGCAGCCTATTTCTAGCATTATGGGACTGTGAGAGTGTATTATGCTGTGATCAAATTTTAAGCATTTTGTAACTGGGTATGTGTTTTTTACGTGCTTCATGTTTACAAAAATATGCCAAGCTGGGCAAGGTCAAGAGAAGTATTAAGGAAAATGTTTGTCATCTGTTCTAATGTTTGGCTTTCAATAAAACACAGAAGATTATCTTTGTCTTTCTAGCGTCATTATTTTTTCCAAAGTGTTAATGAGGATAAATATTTGTCTCAGCTAGCAACAAATATCATTCTCCAAGTTAATAATTTGATTATTCTTTTTTAAATACACTTGAAAGTAACATTTACAAAGAGAAAAATCTCATGAGCAGAAATAATTTTTATTTTTAGGTGGTTGTATGTGATAGGACTGGGCATTACTCTATCTTTTACGATTGTGTTATATTTCTTCTTCTGTACTATTTGCTATTAGGCAACTAATTTGACTTGAATTATGCCCATTGTATATAATTTCTATTTATAACTTAAAATGGATGAGAAATTACTCTTTATATTTATATTTGCCCCACACATTTATCTTTGTTAATGTAATTACTTTTCACCCAAAATATTCCGTATTATAGTCCATAGTCTAAACTAAAACTCGTAACAATGGTGTTGTCTATGCAATGCATGTGCTTCAAAAGTAGCTTGCATTTATTTTTGTCTTCAAACAGTTTGGTATTTTAATGTTGAAATTCGAGTAAATAAAGAAGATAATATCTTCATATTTTCACATTGCTGCATTGTTTCTTGCTATATCTCGATCTATAAAACCTTGGATTCAGTTACTTTTTTTAGAAATCACAAGAGCACCAAAAAGGAAGGAAAATTTCAAGTAAAACTATGCTACAATATTATACTACAATATTATTTTAAGCCGTTTTCACCATCAAAGTAAGGTAAAGATCACTGTGGAGAGAAGGCAATTTTGTGCAGATGTTACTGATGAAGTTTCGTAGTTCAGTATGGTGAGAGCTAACCAGATGAAATTTTTCTTTATTTTCAAAAGCAGTAATCTAGAAGAAGAATCTAGAGTAAATTAAGATCATTTTAGAAACTTTATCAAAATTGATGGCAGCTCATTTAACAGAATGGAGATTGAAGGAAATGTAAGAGAACTTGAGAGAAGTTGTTGTGGTACATAAATAGATACAGACAGCTATACATACAGGGGGTTTGGAACTAGATCTTAAAGATCCCTTCCAACGCAAACCATTCTGTGATTCTTTGTATATTGTATGAGCCTCACTTAAATGTGAGGCTGATGAAGAAATGGGAGACGGGCATGTTTTAGAGTAATAAGCTCATATCTTGTTCTTGCTGTGATGAAAAAGAACTGGCAGAACTCACAAAAATGTCAGATACAGGGGCAAATGGGTCACTAAGCATCCTAGATGGAATCAAAAGAGTTCCAGTGAGAATGTGAGTCTTAATAATAACTGAAAGTGCACAGGGAAAGTGAGTGGTTAGGTCACGTAATCTATCGTGGTTTATTATCCTGTAATGATTTCTTCGTTTGCTTTGAGTTAGCAGAATAATAGAAATACGAGTATATCAACTATTGTATCTGGAGCTGTTATTGCTCTTTAAAAAATACACTGTTTCTGATGTCATATTGACAGGCAGATACACCTTTTTATTTACCATCACATGTGCAAGAAACCTGTATTTTAGCACATCCCAAATAGTGCTGTCATTAATGTGCTGTTCGAATAATAACATCTTCAAAGCTATTTTGTAGTATGTAATTGACTCTGTAGTTCTTTTTTTTTTTTTTCTCCTTCGTTTCTCATATCACAACGAAGTTAATTCTCATTGTGCCTTGTATTGAATGTTAAAATCAGGTATACTGTCTGCATGTTGTAGTAGTAGTAGTCGGTAGCAGTTGTGTATCTGTAGTGAAGAGCGAGACAAGAATTTCTTGAGACAAGAAAATAGTTAAAGAAAAAGCCATCAGTACTCTGTAATATTTTTCGTAACATTTATTGGGTATAAGTTGAAAACAATGATAGCATCAGAATTATAAGGCAAGACGCTTAAAAGAGTAAGACAAAGAACAAAAGATGCTAAAAGGTCAGAGAAGGAGAAGAAAAGCCTATCTCTGCACGAACTTTGTTCATGATAAACAGATGTGATTTCGTTACAAGTATGCTTTTGTGCTGTAGTTGTGTTAACATCTGGTCATGAATTCAGTTGTTTACAGAACATGTGGGCTTAGTTTTTTTTAGAAGTTGAAGTATGATAAAAGCTTCCAAGTGCCTTGGTTATTTCTGAATATGAGACCTAGGTTTCCAAATTATGTTTTGCGCTTTTAAATCAAATATGTATGAAGCCAGTATTCCCAAGATTTTTTAATTAATAAACAAAATACCTCTTGCAAAATAAGTTTGTATCCTATGTGTAACATTTAAATCTGCAAAATATCTTAAGGGGAACATTCATAAAATATCCTTTGACAGCAGGAATTATGCAGTAACTGAAGCATCTGCAGAGAAAGACCTATGTAACCACAGTTCAGTCAGTACACTATGCTTTAATTATTTCTTTAAAATAAATTAGTCTGATTGGCCCAATCTTATTTTGGGTTGAAACTGTAATTATATTCTAACTCTTTCTTATTGTAAACTGTTAAAATAAATTTACTTAAATGGAATTATATTTTTAATATTCTAGGAAAAGGTGAAACAGAGATTGAGCAAGACAAAATGGAAAAAGGTGAGTCTAAAACATTCTACTCTTCTGGATTCTAAAATCTCTGCTTTCTGAGGTAACTGATTTAAATTAGATTATATGATAGTGATGCTTCTATATATGTCAGGAGTGCCTGACCTTTTGGCTTGCCTGGGCGCCATCGAGTGAAGAGGAATCGTCTTGGGCCACGTATGTGTCAGTTGACTAACTGCTCTGAGACTAACGTGGCTTATTTGTTTTCATGGAAACTACAAGCGATGCAAAGAGCTGGCATTGCACTGTGCCTTCCCAGTGTCCTGGTTTCAGTTCAGGCAACAGTAGTAGCACAGTGTTGGTTTGGTTATTGCTGAGCAATGAGTGCGCTCTGGGGGCTGGGCTGCTTGGAGGGGTGGAGCTGCTGCCTTAACAATACAGGACAGTCAGTGCTGGCATGGAGAGTCATGCCAAACTGTGGAACAGATATTCCTACCTTATGTACATAAATTGGTTTTAAGTATACAGTGTGCACCTGTTGTAAGTAAACACATAATCATCTTGAACTTACAGTCATGTTGTTCCCCTTTTATAAAGTCATAGACTGCTATTAAAAACTTCTGCTGTCTCAACTGGAAAGCTGCAATGTCCTAATCCCAGTGTGATATTCCAGAGGTTGTAGCTACCCCATGCAGCTCAGATATCTCTGAATGAGAGGTGAGGGGCTGTCAGAGCCTGCAAGACCCATTCAGTCTGTTGTGCTTCTTGTCTGAGATAAATACGAGCAACCTGTGAGTGACAGCACAGATGGGATGTACTGTCACATAACCTGAATTATTGTAGTTTTATCTACATTAATGGCTGATGGATTACAGGTCTAAAACAATGCAGCTGTGGTGTAGGGCAGTTGTATCCATCTTTGCGTGCAAGACAGACTCAGTGGAGGTAAATCTGTAGATGCTTTATAAAGAGAAGGTAGCACTGAAATCAATTTCAGCTCTGTGTTATACAATAAGGGTTTTTGTCTTGCCTGGTAGGAATATACAGAGGCAGTTTTTGTGGAAAAGTGAATAATGCTGAGAGCACTGCAAGTCTTTTCTTCCCACATTTCTTTGCACAACCTCTGTGCTTCAGCTCAAGGTTTGCATCTCTCCCTAGTTATAGCAACTGACCACAGACAAAAAACTTAAGGGCTGTGCATGCATCCTTCTCACTCAGGTAAGGCCCTCAGAATAGTACCTGCCACAGGTAGTTCCTTCTAAATGAAGGTAAAGGGACTCTGCTGGTGCCTGCTGCTCCTTTTTCAATCCTTTCTCATTTTTTATGTGACTAACTAAGAATTCACCTTCTCTGATCTTTTGATAAGGTTTTTTTGGATTTGTGTGCTTGTATTTTGAATGGTAAGCCATTTTAATGTTTCATTGGAATATTAAATATGCCAAATGCAAGCATGTTAAAACAAAAGCTTACAATTAGAAGGTTTATTTGGGAAACAATGCCGTGATATCAGCATTTCCAATCACAAAATAATAGATTTGGCAGAGGCACATCTTTCCCCCTTGACAGTAGGAGAAAACGTTTGGATAGCTTTATTGACCTATTAGACCTGTAGACAAGAAAATATGTAATAGTTGTCTAGTACAGGTGAAAAAGCATTCACGGGTAAAAATATTACCTCGTTTAAGGAAATGACAAATGGAGAATTGCTATTATCCAACATTATTAGTCAGAATTGGTAAGACACCATTATTACTTGAAAGTATGACAAAATGAAGCCACTTTCCTCCTGAACTCTGCTGTGGTTTTGTTTCTTTGTAAACACTTCACCACTAAATAAATGCTTCTTTTGAACCATGCTATTGCAGATAACAGGATTGTTCTAAGTGGGAAAGAAAGACAGCTTTGTTTTCTGTCTGAATTGACTAAATTATGCATCCCAGAGGGAAATCACAGGAGCAACCAAATCTTAAATGAAATTTATTTATAGCTAAAGTGGTTGTGTTAGTTTTCACAAGTATAATGTTGTTTAATTGCTTAATGGAAAGTGTCAAGCTAACTGAGCCAAAAAAAAAAAAGTTTTAAAAAACTATAATTGGATTGGTTTATTTTCTATTTCCCTGATAAGATGAAACAGTAAGTTTATAAGAGAAGCATTTATAAATATGGTGCTGTAGCTGCCTGGCATATGTAGAAAACTTGGATCTGTGGAATCAGGAACTTACAAAATCATATTTAGCTTATTTTGAGAGATTGCTTTAGTGATTCTGACAGAGCTCAGAGATTTATATACAAGTTTGCATTTGTATTGTAATGTTTGTACATACAAACTCCAGAAGGCCTTCCGTGACAAAAGCTAGTTACAGATTTGAGTAGATCTTAGATCATTAATAGTTCATTTTATGTGTGTAACACATGCATACATGTATGCTTATCTTAAACATTTTTCAGTCCTTTGCTAGTGAAATGTTTTAGTTTCTGTAAATTTAAATGTTCTTTCATCAAATTTATTGAATTTCTAAATTTTACCTTCCTGATACTGAGAAAGAGATGAACTTTCATAGTAAGTTTCTACTATATGAATCTAAGAAAACATCAAGCTGGGCTTTCAGAAAGCTTGATGATATTGAATGTTCATTATAGGAGAATTTGTTCTATAACATGCTATATTGATTTCTTTTTTTATTATTTTAATTGATACAGAAGACATAGAAAAAAGTAAGGTTGTCTTGCAAACCCTTTTAAGTACTGTTTGTCAGGATTTAAAGGTATACAAGAATTAAAGACTTTATCATCCCCTACTTGTTCTACTTGCTGCTTGCTATCTTCCCTACATTGATTCTGATTAGTAATAAATTTGGATTCAGATCCACATTTAGAGACTATGCTAATCATGTCCTTCAACTCCTTTACCCTCATATAAAGGCTTGGTGTTTACGTAAACAGTTAATATATACAATATTATGAAAATGTACATTGCAAGGGAGCTGATTATTTTAGGTACTTACCTATCTCTGACAAGGAAGAAAAATCCGTTATCCAGAATGAGAAATCAGTACTTACTTGTTGCTTAAAGAACAAAATAAATATTTTTTTCTAGGCTTTCTGCCAGCAGAAATCAATTTTGCCTTCTAATTTCTGTGTTAGTCAAAACTCCTCTTGAAACATCTCTAAAGAAATAAATGCATTTGTAGTATGCTACTACTTCAAGTTATCTCTGTTCAATTAAATTGAGAAGGATTGTTTGTCTTCTCCATGAAAATGTCATATTTTATATTAAGGAATTGAAAGGCTTGGATGTTCCAGATGAGCCTGAAAAAATTATTCCTTAAAATACTTCAAAGGTATACATCCTGAATTGAACTATATCACAAATGTACTATACCAATTTCCATACGGTCTAGGTTTAGTTGCATTTTATCACATGACTGTTAAATCTACCTTTTCAGCAGGATATGTAGGATCCCACTGATGCCAGTAGAGTTCTAACCTGTGTGGCTTGTGGAGTATAGGGTGCTATTCTTCTTGCTAAACTTTTGCTGCTGGGTTAGATGAAGTATACCCTCAACTCCATTAACAACCTTTACCAGGGCCTGCACATTTAGCTGACCTCCAGCATTGTCAGCTTGTTAGATGTAAGCTCCATCATTAAGGGTGTGTATACTTTCTATTTACTTACTTAGATATTTAATTATAGCTTGCATCAAATATGAGCTGTTTGCAGAAAGTAAACTTTTATAGAAGTGCACTTTTCAAAGTCCAAAGTGCTGCATAACACTATGCTAAGTTAAATGCATAGAACACTATACGTGTGTAGGACATTAGTGTGTGGTGTTGTATAGGAAGTCACTAAGTACTATTCTTGATCTAGTCAAATAGTTGCTTGATCATCTTTGAATGAAGCCAAGTGACTTTGTGGTAAAAGGGAGCAGTGAATGGTGGCAATACATTCCAAAAATAAAATTCACAATTCTGCAGTTGTTTCTTATGATAGACATTATGTAACCAGCAGTCATTTCAGACTGAAAACCCTGTAGAATACTTCTTACTGTGAGCAAAACTGTTCTGGAATAACTGCAGTTGAAGATTTATTATAGTCATTCCACAGCTTTATTAGTCCCTAAAATGCCTCAGTTTTTTATTGTCGGATTGCTTTCCCAGATAAGTTGATTACAGACATTTTGCCTGTTCTACTAGCACAGTTTAGAAAGATCTTTTAATTATTGTAGCGCTGCTGGCTTTAAGCTGTCTAGATGCACATATTGGGTTTTATACCTTTGAAGTTTTCACTTGTAGAGACCCATAAAATAAGTGGATCACTTACGCTATCTGTAACCTACCTAATGAGCTGCAGAGACACCAGAATAATGACAAGAGATTGTCATCTCATCAGATTATCCTTTCACTCCCTGTCCCTGTGAGGCTCAGTACAACTGCAAAAGCTAATTTAGCTAATGACCAGGGCCAAGCATGAGGAAGGAAGATAGATGCATAGGCAGACTTTTAATTTTAGGTACAAGTGTACATCTTTCAGCCCATAACTGGAACTTTGAACCTTGGATTAGGAAGGTAGGAATGGCTGGGAAGAGAGAGCCGAGGCATTAGTAAAACAGAAGGTCAGAAAATCTATTGAAAAACTTCTGCTGGGCCTAATCTGTAACACTTTCTTTTAAGTGGCTACGTGCACGTTACTAAGAGAGGTATTGCTGATTTTATATCACAGCAGGAATAGATGTTTAGAAAAGAAAACCTTTGCAAATGGCTTTTTTAGTTTTTGACAAATTAAGATGGTGAATTGGCAGGAGTAGCCTTTACTACTTGCTCTCTGTTAAAATGCCACATGCATGACATATCTTCAGGAGAAAAAACAGTATGTTAAACATGAAAGATAATCATGATAGTATTCAACCTTTTTGTCCCATTCTGGCTAATAATGTTTTGAGATGTAAGGCTGAACTCTGAGTTCAGCTGTGTTCACTCCTTCTGGATAACAAGGTTTTTCTGACCCTGGCTAATTATTTAGTGATTCAGGTGAACGTGTGAAATGGAGATCT